CGTACCAGACCCTGCACAGCCTGAGCTCCTCAGAGGACATTTTGGTCCATCCACATGGCGGCATGGCCTACTCGTGTCTAGGTATAAGCTCGAAACACTAAAACCGTTCTGAGCAGAGGATACACTCGCCGCGAATCAGGCTCACAGAGTCAAACAAAGCACACAGTTCGACACTTCTGACATTGCTTGACTTCAGCGTCACTGAATACACGTGCAGAAAAACGAACACAAGTCCCACCCCTCCACCCTGCCCCAGAACACACACAAGCATACCCACGACTGGCGCCCACGCGATCCCACTACAGCAAACAGGTGCACGGTTGCATGTTTGTGTGTTTGCTACTTGTGCTGGTGCATGTTTGAGTTGACAGACAGATACAGACAGATTGCTTTGGCCAGACGGTTGGTGGACAAAATCCTGCACCAGTGGAAGAACAAACTCATATATACCCTCGCGCTCCCTCTTTAACATTGAGTGGAGGAAACATGTGAAACACAAAAAAGTTGAATGACCAAAATCCTGCATCACACAGACCAAACATGAGACAACATTGAATTGGGGGGTACGGGGGGTCTGCGCTTTTCGATGACCACATGCGTTGCTGTATTGATGCAGGATTTCGTCCATCAACAGTAGTAAGGGAATAAAAGCAAAAACTCGACCTGAACAACTCTCGGAAGTTCTAACGCAACATCCCCAAACAACATGGACAACATGTCGCACTAAACACAAGCAATAAACCGATAAGCCAGTGTTCACATTTGTTTATAATTGGATAGTCCAATGTTTAAAGCAAGGTGTGTATCGAAATAACATGTTGGTGTCAAAATGTTTTAAAATGTTTTAAATGGTCTATAACCGTTTATAACTTAAATAACGTACAATACTATATATAATATATATTATATATTATACACCATTAAATACATCTCTTTATGATCCAATCTTTGGCTGCGGAACTCGCCCAAATCCTTCCTCCTTCCCAGGTGCAGAGCTGGTCGCACCGGGCGCCGCCTTCTGGGCGCCTGGGCGGCGGATGTAAAGTTACCTGAGTAGTAACAAGTGCATCGCTACTAGCAAGAAGGGCATTACTACTATATAACAAGAAGCTACGAACGTAGCGATGCACTGAGGGAATATATATGGGTGTATATTTGAATAGGGGGGCCTCCAACGCCCACCAATCGGTGTTGGTAGTGGTTTTGGTCTATTTCTCTTCTTGAAGGGGGTGTTTGTAAAGGTCCCCCCCTAGTTCAATGATTTTAATAACACGCCCATATGCAATGTAGTGGTTAAAGCACGCAAACAAATATTGCTTCGCAGAGAACCACAAAGAACCCTTAGATTATAGCTTTTCAGGCGTTTGCTGAGGGCTAGATCGGGCGTGTTGGGATGTGACATCGCTCACGTCGAAGCCTTTTTTCCCCTTCCACGCAGAACCTGCTCCGCTTTGGAGGCCGAACCCGGACGTCGCCCCTCCCAACTGTTCTGCTCCGTCGCCCGTCCCGACGTCGCCCGTCAGCCCCATGACTTGAGGTCCAGCTCACCGATTGGGCACTGCTGCCACATTTATTGTGGGGGAACCCCAGACGTTTTGTGCGACCGACCGACCATCTGAACGAAGAACTATGGGTTTCTGCTGGGTTCTGCATGGTTCTGCTAAGCTGTACCCATGCAGTTTCACTGGGCGCCCATGCATCAGTTAATTGAATCTCATTCACATTTAGTCAAACAAGCATCATTTGTAGGGTTTATGGAATTTTTCTGAATGCCCCATGAACGCCTAACTCCTGCGTCTTCGGCAGTCATCAGTAGATGTTTTTGGATTGAAAAAACAGGATTTCAACCACGAAAACCGCCACAGGCACTATGAGAGTGCAAGTCACCTTCTTCAGATGCTCGGATCACTTTTGCTCGGCTGCGGGTGAGGCTGTGAGGCGAGGAAAAATGATTACATGATTACCACATGAGTTTTTGTTTGAAAACTGAAAGTTGTGGGAATTGGACCACTTCAACGTATAAGAGCAGGCCTTCACTGGCAACCCGGCAACTTGTCGTGTCACGCTATCGTTCTAACCTTTGCATTTGTTTCGGGACTTTTAGGGTGTCCACTTCAATGACGATCTTAATGCTGACTGTTGATCCTAGATAGTCAAACACCTACTTAGTACTTTTTATGGTGGAATTACAGTATGCAGGTATACAGTATTTCATTGATTCAATCAACAATCAAGACTACTGAAATGTAGACTCTTGATTTATAACCCCCCGATTTTCCAAGTCAATTGGTGTTTTTGTTTGTTAATCAGTCAAGAGTCTACTTAGCCCCCATGCCAAGGATGCTCTGGAACTTGTCGCTCGAAGAGCTGATGGCAATCAGTGAACGCATGGCCGCGCACTACGCGAAGCTTCTGGCAGCTCGGCTCAGCTTCTGATCGGGAGCAACTCACTCAGTAGAAGGAAGGAGCGCAAAAGGGGTGCCATCAATGGTAGTGCTGATCTGCGCACATACGCTAATCAGGGAAGTGGATGGCACACCTGGAAGACCATCTTTGACCAACCAGGTGGTGAACTCCACTTCCATGTGAATGACTCAGTGCACTGCGTATTGCCTTCACAGAGTTGGCCGGATGGGATTTTTCCACATGATTACCCCTGCTCAGGTTGCGTCCGTGCACTTCTGGCGAGGCCGGAAGAGGGAAGTACCTAGACTCGACTGATACGTCCTGGATTTTGTGAGTTCAAATGCATGAAGTTGTTGCATGTGTTTCTCTCTCAGGATATGCGGTCAGGGCTTAATGAAAAGGTGAAGATACAGAAGGAGCGTGGGACGCCCTTAGTTGCTGAGTTGGTATGGTCTAGGGCTGCAAGTACCTCTTGAGAACGTCTTTCGATGTGTATTTCAAGGGCGTAACTACCTTCTGAGGAGGTTGTTGGAGCCCAAGGAATGTATCAGAATCTTTGTAGTTGACCGGTCAAGAGATGCTGCTGACTGTCTGACTGATTTGAGGGGGCAGACAATCATGCAAACGGAGCAGTGCCACTTGTAGAGGATTCCTGGGTCTTCCAGCACCCTGTGTTCATCTATATATGTTCCACGTTCATGATTGTTAGGAAATGCATGGAAGGGGGGCCTTCCCCATTTTGCAGCTTGCCAGGAGTCATCATCAGCTTGGTCGAAGAGAAAGATGCCTCAATGTGGAAGGGCCACTGGGCATCACAGAATGAGCACTCTCTCTCACACTTCCTGGCGGACTCAGGTGAGGGACGGGTGATGGTGCGGTGATGGTTGCTTGACCCATGGCCTTGCCTGGTCCAAGAAGTCTCCCCCAAAACGGACAAAAAATCAGTCGTTTTACGACTCGACGAGGTGTGAAATTCGCATCGTGTTTGCATGTGTCAATTCTTTGCAGGGGGTCTTTTCTGAAAAACCATTCAAAAAACATCAAAAACATATGATCCTATGATATCCTATGTGTTTTCTCAATGTTTTTTCCATGTGTGTACATGTTTTGCCTATCAACCAGGACTTTCCAAAAGTGCCCCAATACTCCAAACGTGACGGCGCGTGAACGAAGACGATGGCCTGGATCCGCGGCGGTCTGCACAGCATGTGTCGATTTAAAGGTTGAGTCCCCGATCCCAATCTGGGTGTCACTATTTAAGGTCTGATCTGAGATCGTGGATATTGTGTTGAACAGAAATACCGAAGGGCTAATCACTTACAGCTTCAGCAGCTGGATTTTCTGTAAATCAATGCTCGCTCTCACGAGGCTAAGCAGCTGGTTGCGATTGAGAGCCGCTGGCGGCGGAAGCCCGCCGAATGCTGCCGTCACTGAGCTTGAGCCATTGCGCTTGGGAAGGCCTTGGGTAGCTGGAAGACACAGAAGACTGAGAAGTCTGAAAGGTATTCATGAGGCCTCATGAGATTAAGAGAAGATCTTGGCTGACGGACTCACAAGAATGAGTTTGTATTTCGTATGCGCATTTAATCACCCATTGATGTGCAATTTGCTTGGTGTACATGCCATTTTGGCATATGTAGGGCACGAACAATGCTTTGCACATGACATGTGGAAACAACCGCCCATGGTTTGACTTGTGTGCTTTAGAACCGTTGCATCTGCCAGTTGTTGCCAAATGTCCTTGGCCAGTGCAGAAGCAGAGCTTAGCCAAAACTCTGCTGATAGCTACCTTGGCACCTATTGGATCCTAATGGCTACTGTAAATCTCTTCGAAGTCCGGCATTTGGTGCCTCTTGATGCATCGCAACACAGGACGTGGTCTCATCGACCAGGGCTTCGAACAGCGGCTGCGGGCTGAGCAACCAGGACGGCCGCCTGTTATGCTCTCCGTGGGCCTCGTCCGCGGTGTCCGCTTCGTTTGACGAAGCCAAGCGAACAGAAGGATGAGCTGGCCATGTCACCAGCAGCCAACAAGGGCTTCAATTTCGGTTCTTGCAGTGTTCGAGCAGTCTTTGGCTCCCCACTTGTTTGGCACACCCAAGGAGCTTGATGATTGAGGCCTTCACGACGATTCTGGCACTGATCAAGTGAAGACTCAAGACTCAAGACCCTGCACCTGCAAGATGCGCCGAGATAAAAGATGTCCCACAGTATTCCCTAACACCCCTCCAGTCCCGTTCTGTGTGAGGGTGTGGGGACACGTAGACAGTCTGAATTCAGTGGGATGAACAATTCAATGAGCAACCTTGGCCCTCGCGCAGAGAATCTCCATCTGGAGCAGAAAAGTCAATGACTGTCCAGGGATCATTATGAGGTTTTCATGTTTTGCTGTCATGTTTGGGAGTATGTTTGGGATATTGTTTATGCATGCATGTTTGGATTGTCTGGAGACCACTATGGTTCTGGGCACGCCTGAATATGTTTGACCCCTTGCACAGCCTCCGGGGCTATGACACTATGTGATCTATGAGCTCTTGCACGTGACTGACATGACCATTCTCCCACCACACGAAGATCAGCCAACATCGACCCAGGCCCGTGCCAAGCCGGAGCTGCGCCGCTCGCGGGCGCAGGCGGGCGTGCTTGAAAGCCCCCAGAAGCACGGACACTGGCGGCGAGCACCCAAGACAAGGGGCTACCGTCCAAAAGACACACATTATAGGAACATGAAAGAGGTTTCTCGGAACGGTACCCCAGCCCTTTTTCAAGCAATATTCATTAAGAAAGGGACGTGTTTGTTTGTGCTGTAATTCATATGTGTGTGTGTGTGTTTGGTTTATTCTCCAAACTGTCGCGTTGCGCTGCAAAAGTGGGAAGGATTCTAAAAGTTGTGGCGATGTCAACTGTCAACTGTCAACCCCGTCATGTGGAAATTGCACCTGAGACTCGGCACATGTTCATGTTCGCCACCTGAGACGAAGGGCTCCCACCCTGCTTCACCCTCCCACCAGTGTTTGGATGTGTTTGGACCGCATTCCCAAACCCAGCACTTGGAGTTGCCTAGGATCGCATGCAAACCAGCCCCAAAAAGGATTCTGGAGTGCCTACAGGAACTATGTACAATGTAATGTTTTATGTAAATCTAGCATAGGATCTAGATAGGATTATGTGGAGTTTGCTTTATACATATTAATATATATATATAGGACACCTTCTCAGGACATATTATATACTTGGCTTCTTACCATCATAGTGTGTGGTTGGTCATGTTTTCCTTTGTTTGAGAATTCCAATATGTAAAAGGTGACCTTACAAGAAACTTTTGTATGTCAGAAGAAAAGCGAAGAGGATATGAGCATCTCAAAAGGTGATAAATGGATCGAAGCAATAGTTGTGATGTTATGTCTTTGTCATAACAAACAAGAAGACAGCAGAGGTTTTCGGCACGTCACTGAGCCACTTGCCTCCATTTTAGATCGAAGCTGCACTTTGTGTTCAGAGTCTTTGACACATTATGAATTCCCTTGGTTAAACTGGAGCTTCTAGCTTGTGTTTCCAAGTTCAATCAGCCAGCTCTAGACTCTAGCTCAAACATGTTGAGTGACACCCGCGATCAAGAAAATTGTATTTTAACTTAAAAGAACATCTCGATGCACATGAACAGCATACAAAAGCATTGTGGCATGGATTTGCCCTATTCCTAGCAAAGCAAGACCATCAAGACTCTTCCTGCCAAGGGAGGATTCCCTGTTCCAATCCTAAGTTAAGAATTCAACCGGGCTTCTACTCTTAGCTGCCTTGACAAGGCATAGAAGCAAAGAATTGAGCACATGACCTTCCTTTAAGGTTGTTGCTTGTAGCAGTTGTGAGACTATGTTGGGCCCCTGATTGACTCACGAAATCCAGCTGGTCTACCTCAGCCAGGAACTTCCTACCCGTCTCGGGCGGCGAGAGGCAGACAGATGGGATGTTCCCGCCGAGGGTAACAAAGGAGAGTCTTATATAGACCCCCAAATAGATAGAAAAGTAGATCCTCACTAAAATGTTTTGGAAACCGTGCCACTGTCTATGTGGGGATCACTATTAGTTCCCTATGTTGCCACTTATACGGGGAATTCACTAGATCCCAAGTCGCCCTCTCGGGCGACTCGACCACATGTCACCACATGTCACTGCGTCGTAAAGGAGGGGACCATGAGCCAGTGAACTTCTTGATGTTTTGCTGGCATATGGCAGATGGCATGAATGCTTAGGAACAGCAGCACGGGATGATGTGGTCGCGTTTGCGTCGTGGAGCTCCAACGAACTCACGATCTTTGTGTAATAATAAGTACTCGTAAGTTAGTTGACCGGATGTAGTTTGCCCTTTTCAGATTCTCCCGACAAGTGCTCCAGAAAGTTTCAGACACCAACGAAGAGACATATATATATATATATATATCTACGCTTCTTTATCTTCTTTAATTATATATATATACACACCTAGATCACAGATGAGCTTAATTAGATGGAGCCCGGCTTTCGACCATGGTTTTTGTGGCACTCAAAGCCTGCACTGCATTTTGCATGCTATTTGTTCCGTCTTTCACTTTGGATGACCAGATCATTGGGGACAAGTTCGATCATTGGGTCATCCATACGGAGCCATGCCATCCACTTCCATGATTTCAGGAACTGTAATTATAGTTACAGTTATACTATAACCTTTCTGCTAGCCTTTCATTGAAATTGAACAACGATGAATGGGACACAGCTCCGCAGCAGGTTGGATCTCCTTTGCGAGTGGGAGAGAAGAGGGCAAGCCTGGCCTGGTGCTTGGACCAATACACAGTTTGCTTGAGCATATGTTGACTCTTAGCGGTGCGTCCATGCCATTACATATTCAGTCAAACGTCATAATTAATTACCCGCCGGTCAAAGACCTCATTTTACTGGAGGTGATCATGCAAAGAGACTACTCAAACTACTCAAGGAGGGAAAGCACCAGGTTTTACTGGGTCTTTGAACTTGTGGGGGTTGGTTTGGATGCCAAGCCTGTCAGATTCCGTGCTGATGTATGTGAGTTGCTTCTGGAGATCACACCTAAATCTTTAGGATGGAACTCTTGCCGTGGGCGACCCCCCTGTTTCTTGGTTTGGACGCCGCACAAGCGAAACTAGGTTGGCCGTCTCGGGCTTCTGGCCAGTCACTTGCAAAACGTCAGATCAACAAGACTAGACCAGTATTATATAGTAGGTTTGATGACACAAGCTAAGCAGAGAAACAAAGTCTCATTGTATAAAGTCTTCAGTTTCACCTGTAGGACTACACTGTAGGACGCAAGGCATCGCAAGGCCCACCAGGCATGCTTTGTTCCGACCATCGTACTTCCAAAAAAGGCGTTGAGGACGTGATTGGTTTCTTTATGTATCTTTGCAAACTAGGTTTCGGATGAATAGGGACAGATTTTGACCAATCAGTTCTGAAGAGGGTTGCAGCGATGGTGATGGCTGCCGATATATCAAGTTGTCGCAAGTACCTGTTCCAAGGCTTTTCTTAGATCACCGTACCCCTAGAACACTGCGGTAAACTACGAATTAAATTTACCGCGATCTTAAAGTATATAGCTTCTTCAAATGTTGTTTCGTTTGCCAGCCTTCGAGGAGTGCTCTAAGAGCACATTATTTGTGTTGAAGAATTGGTAACTCAGAGAGGAATTAATACAATCATAATAAAACGAAACATGGTAACTTGCCATTTGCAGAAAGACATGAAATGTTAGGTTCGTAAACCGCTGAAAAAGCTCACGCATTTTCATGGAGATGTTGCTTGGCTTTGAAAACTCAGGCTGAGCGGCAAGCTGACCGAAGATGGATTGAGGAGTCGTCCAAGCTGTTGGGGCGACGTGTTAGACCTTCTTAGTCTTCATCTTCAACATGTATAATGTAAGGGAAACCTCAGGTAGAAAGTATGAAACATAATCCTGGTGTGAATTTCCACTATGAAATCAAAGGGGCGTGCTGCCTGTTTATAGTTAGAATTCTCCCCGGGATTTGAACTATAAAATTATGATCACTAAATAGGCCTTAAGACTACTTAATTTTTTGGGACAGGATGACTGGTTGTTCAAAAGTGAGATCATGATTTTATAAGAAGCCACGACTTCAAAAAAAGACAAGAATCCCCAAACATTTAGAAGACAAAATGATTCTATAAGGAATAATTCCTGATTGTGAAATATGGTTTTAATGTTATAGTATATTTTTTGCCTGAGATTTTATAGGGGGCCACCTGGAAACTTGTAATACATGTCGATTCTATAGGTGAATTGGCTAGTTCCAAAATCATAAATTAGTTTTATAGTCACATTGATTTTATAGATTGGAAAGTGTCCACTTCCAGACAACAATGATTATATATTGTGGAGTTGAGGATGTCAAAACTCATTTTTGATAATGTAGTAAATAAAAGGGTCAAGACGCTCTGGCGCCAAGTTTTTGTAAATCTGTTGTTGCTGTGCCAGCATGTTGTGGACCTGTGCACCCCATTCTATAGTGACTCAATTTGGCTGTCCTGTGAGCTAAGGATGTCAGGTTGTTTCCATAATCGTATTGATTTTATAGGTGTGAGTGGCTATGTAGGCTGATGAAAAAGCCATTTTATAGTGTAACCGGACTCCCCCAAAACCAAAACCCAACCCTGCAATTTAAGAGCTATAAAATGGGGAGGACAAGTGAGGATCTAAATCCCCACGGGGATGAAACATATATGAAAGTATGAAACCTAGGCGTCAGCTAGGCAGGGGTCGGTGGATATAACATAGAAATTCGATGAGAGTGCTTATATAGGAGGACTGCCATATGGTCCCTCAGGACATATCCAGAGCACTCTCAGGTGGTGGAATCGTGTGAGTATGGTTTCTTGTTGCCACACAGCAGGGTGTAGAGGGGACCTTCAGTTAGACCTTCAGTCGTTCATGGGCAGCACATGTTCCTGTCGAATGTGTGTCTCTGGCCGCAGCCACCCGACCGACCCACGGCCAACGCTCTTTTCGTCGAGCGGACCAGGATTCGGACAGCGAAGATTTGCATTTTTCCTCCGGGAGCAGCCGCTGACTCAGCGTCGAACTCCTTGCGTTGAATTTTTAATTCAAACTGTTTTTCATGGAGTCCGAAAGCCTTCAAAGGAGAATCGTAGCCAACATCCACCATTTCTAGAGAGACATTGAAAGGCTCTTATATATTTCGTGCTTAGCAGAGCCAGCTTTATGATGGGGTTAATTAAAGGCCGCCCTGGTTGGTTTTGGTGGCTGCTTCTGTTCTTTAGGTTCTTCACCACTTGCCAAGATTGAATGAAGCAGGAATAGTGAAGTGTGTTTTATACGTTTAACATAATCTCTGCGTTTCGCTCCACAGCTACTGGATATTGTCAAAGACTTGCCCTGCCAAAGGATCCAGTCACCACATGGTTGGATCTAATCACCACCTGTGCCAAATCTCTCGAATCTATCATGATTGGACTGGACTTGTTGTTGAAACTTGTTGGGATCCAAAGTTGATTTCTGGTCGCCCGGATATGCCATCACTGTTCGTCCTCCTTCGCATGGCGATGCCTGTTCTTTTCCCGCGCGATACGATACGATCGCTGATGGGAACGACCTCCCAGGTCCGGAACATGTGCATCAGCCTGCAGAGGCCTCAGAACAAAGAAAACAAAACATCCAAACTTCCTCAGATTTGGGCATTTGAAAGGTCCTTCTTCGCTGTTGTTCATGCCCCTGCCTAGTCGCCTCAATTTGTCTTCGCCACACGACACCAGACGACCAGACCATGACATGTGGTTGCGAGTCCGAGTGTGCCGCATGGCTGGCCATGGGACGTCCGAGTTCAACAAGGATTGCCCACGTGTCTAGTAACACCCGAGAGCCATGAGGGATGTCAAATTAGGTGTCAAATAACATAAATCAATATAAATTACAGTAATCCCTAAAATCCATCTAAAGCCCTTAGTTTTGTGCTCTTCGGCTGTTGAAACGCGCTTCGGGTGCGGCATAGCCGCTGGCCCTTTCGATGTTGGTCGCAGGCCTTCACTCTCCACAGGTGCACGGGGTGGGTCAGGGTCGTGAGAGTGGAGTGTCCCTGGCTCGGTGAGAGCGGAGTTCCTCATTGGGTTTTCCCCAAAAAAAACGCAAACACGTGCGCACATGCCCAACACGGAAGCACCTGGCACCCAACGCAGAGGAAAATCAGGATGATGTTCTGACTGGATAGCCAAGGAACAGGAAGTGAATGGTATAGTATAGGAATTACACAAGTGCCAAACCAGACCGCATGGACAACATCCCAACGGAAATGAATGCAAGTAAACTCCTGGGGGAATCTGTCGAAAACATCCATTTTTCCTCTCCCATGGCCCCAGCGGAGGCCGCCCTCCACGGCGTCGCCGGAACGGCGGCCCGGCGCGGCCGCGCCGAGCGGAGCACGGCTCGCGCAGGTGGCGCCCGTGGCGGGGTGGCGGGAGAATGGGCGAGTGGGTGACACGGGTGAAGCTGTAGAATGTGAAAGGATCCCAAATAGTGGAGATGTTCACAGCACTAAGAATTGTAGATCAAAACATGATAGAACTCTATAGACTGCTGTAGATGCTGATCGTCCTGTCGCTCATCGAACGAGCCGTTGCCTCGATTCCAGGATCGCTGGTCGCTCCGCAGGACGTTTCACGCTTCAGACGTGGAACATGGCAGCTTTGGCAGGTGTGGTAGGTGTGGTGTGAGAGGTGTCAGGGAAGTCCAGGTCAGACGGAGATTTCAGGTACTCCATCAGCTTGATCCAAGACTGCCACCCGAAAACTTGCTGAGAAAACATCAGGTCACTAGGTCAGAAAGGCATGCAAGGTATCTCATTGAAAGAATGAGCGAAACCGAAGCTTGCAGTTGGCCACACAGGCCACACCTGCCACACAGGCCATCTTTAAGACTGGGTCTTCTCGTCCAGAAGGCCTTGATCTTGACAGGAGAGAAGCTGCCAGGCGACCAGTGGTCTACACACCAGGTGGGGCATAGGATGGCATAGGGTTTTCGTACGTGTTTGTGGTGGTGGTGGTGATTGAATCAGGTCGGCTGAACCAAATTGAACATCACTGCACAGGGTGGTGGTGCAGTCGGGTCAAGTGGTGCAGTGGTGCAGGGAGTTTTTCGACATGCCTGTACCACACAGGATCAGATATATTGAAGGTTTGGGTTGTTGCTCATGTATGGCAAAAGAACCTCAAATGCACAAAGCTTGGTGTTCCATCCGAAAGAACACAACAGAACAAAGCCAAACCGAAAAAGGGGGGTTCACCCGGAGATGTTCACCCGGAGCTCCGGAGCTCCGTCATAGTGGGTTCTTGCTGATTTGGGATCATTTGGATCCATTCCCCAATCCTTGGACTCCTCGAGTGTAGAGCCAGGTCGATCCCCAGCCCAGACACGACACATGGGAATGGGATATATGATATATAGATCCCAGACACTCCATGTCTGTCATGTGTGCCTACATTGACCCCTCAAACAAGGTCGCAATTCGAATGTGGGCAGGTATGTAAAGTACGCGAGAAAATATGAGTTGATTTTGTTACATGACACTAGTGTACCCGGTGTACCCATCACTTACGAATGACCACCCGTCATATGGTGAAGAACGCAAGTAGGACAGGTCAATAGGGTGGCACACTTAGCTGAGACTGTGGCAGATGCTTTTTGTCGATCCTCGGCTTTGCAATATGAGCGTTCACAGAATCGAACCATGAGGCCTGTAAAGTCCTCAGCAGCAAGTCGCCCCCTGAACCATGAGTTCATTGGCCCTCCCCGTTTTGAAGGCAGAAGGCTTCAACGTGACTGGGTGTGATTTGTTCAAGCTTGCTATGACACCTTGGTGGAGGATCCAGAGGCGTTGAAAGCGCACCGAAAGGTCAGTCACTTCAAGGAAGGCCATGTCCAACCAGGACTCTTGGTGATGTTTGAGAAGTTGATGGTCACTGCTAGTACATACTCTGCAAGTGCGTAGTGTGCGCCTGCGGTGCCGAGCTCAGCTCAAGTAGCTGGTTGCGTGCGGTCGCTGCAGGCAGCGGCAGCTGGCAGCCGGAAGCGGCTCACGTCAGCCCTGACCCATGGCACACTTCAAGGGTTACGATACCCGAGCCCGGAGTGATTTCTACAGATACAAAACTTGAGTCAGCCTGTCAGCCTGAGCGCATACTCTCTGATTTGCTCGTTTTTCTCAGTGCGTGTTCACGACGTGCTGGTTCGGTCTGCATGTTGCCCATATGATTCTGCTTGCACCGTGTCGACTGCATAGGTCCCGGCGGTGACAGCGCTTGCTTGGGCCGTCGTTGGTGAGGCGCAGCAACCAAACCCTGCACAACGCCTGGCAGCGATGGCGTTGGACAAAGCACACACTGTCAAGGAGGAGCCTGTCATAAAGTCGACACGAAACGTTGACGGGGTCAGAAAGGCCTCCAACGACAATGGACATGGACGGAACCTGAGCCCTCACCTGAAGTCATCACTATAAGAACAAACCTCGACATGGGATAGGCAGTTCGTGCAGTTCTGCACGGGCAAATCCTAGACTTGCGAAACTGCAAGTCGAGCGGGGTGAACGTGAAGGCACTTGACGAGATCATAGCCATCATCCTTTTGTGCGATAATGGTCCTATTCTTGTTTAATGCCTACGCGCTGTTTGGTTATGTTTGGCAGACCTTCACAACATGTGCAGGCCCCGCGTACAAACATGCCGCTCGAGGACATTGTTGCTGCACTGCTTTGTCAAGCCAACTGACGGGATATGCCGTCTGGGCGCCCACCTTATGTACCCTGCTCCTGGTTCTTCAAGGGCCTGACATAGGACCGCAATGTCCACGATGAGCTTCCGGTCTGTTGGAGCGTTGTCCGACTGCAGTGCATCGTACGCCACCTTGGCGTCGAGCACCAAAAAGTGGCGCCACTTGCTCGCCCAGTGCTTCCATGCATGGAGCTCGAAGTCCTTCATCATGATCTCTGCCCACACCGCTCTGACATAGTCCCCATGCTCATAGGAGTAGCCGCCTGGGACAGCCGCCATAGGACATCAAACCGCCCGCTGCAGCTTTGAACGGGCACCTTCAAGTTTACCTGTCACGATCATGATCACAGGTTCTGCTTGGGCTTGGGAGTATCTGTTTTCAATAACTTCTGGGCCAGGCTTTAAAGGAATAATGACAAATCTTTTTTTCAGTATGTCACATGGCAGATTATCTCATTGCGGCTTTAGTTTTTGCTCGTCAGCCTTGGGTTCTTGTTGGACCATTCGCCCTACACGTCGGGGTCATAAACCCCACGTGAGTACGTGAGCAAGGAGCTTATTTTGCGAGCCATCAATAATGGCTGGCCAGCAAGCGCAGCGTGAGGCCAAGGACAAAATGTGGGAAGGTGAACTTGCCTGTCTACATTTTGGGTCTGCGAGCGAGGGTTGAGTGGCGAAGGCAAGGGTGTGGAAGACACACTTTACCCAGGTCCAGGAGCAAAGCACAAGGTCCTTGCCCTTGGCTTCTCTGGCCGTCTTCGAGGATTGCGCTCGAACCATGCATTCCCACACCTGCCTCCACCCGAGCGGCGTTGCAGAGGGTTCAGTCCGTCTTCGATCCACACTTGGTTGTCTCGCTTTGAATTTGGCGGGTATCGATGCGCAACCGACCAGAGTTGCATTACATATGAATTTTTTGTTCCGGCTGTTTGGGGGTTTGTTTTGTATCTGGGGTTTTGGTTTTGCATGGGGCTGATAACTTGACACAGGCTCATAACTTGACGCAGACTGATAACTTACAGGCACAGGCACGAGGCTAAAGTAGCATTGCCCGTGTGGCTGCTATGGTTACAGCCGGGCTGAAGGTAGCATTGCCCATGTGGCTGCGGACGTTAGAGAAAAGCAGAAGTAGCATTGCCCATGTGCACGTTATGGTTACAGCCATGCCTTGCAACAACACTACAGATAATGTGGTTACTGCAGCAGCATTGCCAATTTTTGTTAGTAACTAGTTTGTACTTAATCTCTACCCCCCAATCCACCGTTTAGTTTCTAACACCGTTTGGTTGCCTTGCCCGTCTCAAGAACCAAATCTTTTCCACCCCACTGGTCGCTGTCAGTCCGCCAGCCGGAAGAAAAAAACTCCTTCACGCTGGTCCATCACATCAAACACGTGTATTTGCACACCCCAAGGGTAGCCAGGGAATGGATCGAATTTTTCGCACAAGACGTAAAACACATCTTGTTCCCAACAACACACTCTTCGGTCATTATCGATCCCTGTCACATAAAAACTGTAAAGCCATCGCATCATACAGGCGACACTCTCGGAAGCGTCGTCCAAACAACACCAGGTAAACTCTAAGTCAGGGTCATCGACCCTACACTGACTCAAATTCTTCTCAGGGATGAAGGCGAACATGTATTTCTCGATCGGCAGCGATTCACCCATCCATTGCAGTCCTTGGGTTTTTCTTTTGTTTGTTGATAAGTTAGCTTTCAATACAAACGACAAAGCACGTATTCTTTGAAGCGAGAAGCCAACATACTTTTCAGCTCGTTTGTCAATGTCCATCCCTGTTCCTGTAGACCAGACCGGTTCGGTTGGGCCAACTTGGTACACACCTGGATCCAAAACTTTCTGAATGGTCAAAGTCAAAACGAAGCGATAGTCAGGTCCAAGTGCATTAGAGGTAGGTCTCCTTTTGTTGGAAACTTGAGCAAACCATCTTGTGTCAAGAAGCTGGACACAGTCGCTCAATTTTTTGGGGGGCTGGTGCCACGTACTGCGTCCCAAAGTACAAATCCAAAAAGCTTGGATGGCAACTGCAATGCACCGACCCAAAAGATTATTGGGAAACAGGAGGTACCTATTGTATCCTATTGTCATGTATGTCATGTACTAGGTGGATGTTGGATGCAGTGCCAACCAAGGCCGGTTCGGCGAGGAGTGAACCAAGCGATCAAATCCACTTAGGGATTCTATGATGCTGGATCCTCTGGATCCTCTTCCATCTCTTCCTCTTCGGCGTCCTCCGGCGCAATCTCTCCCAGATCAGCCCCCTCATCCGCAGCATGTGTCGATTCGCGCTTCTCCTTGGCCGCCGATATCATGGTGGCCTCAAGATGAACAACATCTGGGTGCAATGATCTTGTGACAACAACATGAATACAAAACGTGGCAGCGTCAGTACCAAAACAAAAGATAACAAAACTATACGAAACCATGGGTGTTTGCCGATTTTGACTCCCTGCCTTCAAGCTTTCAGCAGCTTCGACATCACCATTGGTACGAACGAGTTCATCCCGGAGTGCAACCTCCAGCGATTCCAAAGCAACTTTGTTTGATATGTCTTGACATTTTATTCAGCAACTGTGCACATACACAGGGACACCAATCACTACAAGGCTAGGAACTGCAATTTCTTCACGGGTAGCTTCATCGATGCCCTCGCACTCCCGAGCTCTCAACTGAGGCCAGTAGTCGAGCGAATGGGCTGGTGTTGCAAAACCGTGGTTTTCAAATGCAAATCAAATGAGTATCTAATGTGTCAGTCCATACTTGGTTCAAGTGAGTCACGTAGAACTTTTCAATGCCATCGACCTTGAAACCGTAGCGCTGGTCTGCTTTGTAGTATGCCTTACCCACTTTGACTGGTGCATCCTTGCCGGCAGGTTTCTTGGAAACCTTTGCATTTGGCTCGACAACCTCTTCAGTCGCAGGACTGGCTCCCTTGGGAATCGGGGGCGCCGTGTTTGCAGCAGGTCGTTTCAGTGCCCCTTTAGCAGCAGTTTTTGCCTTGCCCTTGGGCTTGACCGGACTACCCTTCGCTTTGGCTGATCCTTTTGGCTTCGGTGTTGGTTTGGGTTTCGGAACAGCCATTTGTTGATCACGGGGGGCGGCACCATCATCGCTAAGGTCCTCCACAGATTTCAATACCATAGCTTGCACCAAACTATGGAACCCACGCATGTTTGCTTCAGATTGCAGCCCAAAAGCTTTGGC